TTTGTAGAGCAATACTCATCATCATCAATAATATTAATAAAAATATTTAACAACAATAATGACAGTATCAATATTACCTCCGTCAGATATCATTCATCATGATGCATCAACACAATTGCATAACGCAACCAGGTTTACATTCTACCGGGTTTTATTTGTTCACTTTCCAGTCGTTTGGTCGTAATCGATTATGATGTAGCTGGTGCTGGTGTTGGTACGGAGTTGGTGAACTCAAACCTTCACACGATCCACTAACCGACACCGCTGAAGGGCGTGATGCTGTTGAGTGTGTATATGTTGATTCTGAAACTGTGATCATGTTTCAAGTTCACATTCAAATAGAAGATTAGCTTTTGGAGAACGTTTATGCATGCCTGGAATGACAGTCAATATAAATTGGGCATTTTCATGCAATTATGGCTATCTTTATTGGACTGTCATTGAATTAGCTTTATCATTGCATTTGCAATAGTTCCAAATTATGCTTCTTCAAGAATAGCTGTGACTGACTGAGAGACTGGGAATAGAGAGTGGCATCCGAGCGAAATTTCATATCGGTCGGAATCCGGCCGACATGAAATTTCAACATTTCGACAGTCACAGTTCCGGCCGACAATCGGAATTGTTCGGTCGGAATCCGGATGCCGGAATTCCTATCGAAATTGTTGAAATTTTCCGAGTGAACGTCGGTCGAATGCCACTTGGCAACCTTATCACTAGTGGTAAATTTATGAAAAGAATGAAATCCCATCGAAGAGTTTAAGAAAGAAGAGTTTTCAGAGAACGCGCCTACGTGAGCAATAGAGTGCGTTTGGATGAACGAAGTGTAACGCTTGGTCCAGATAATTTTTGTAGTTTCAATGCAGTTGTTGAATGTAGCTAAGAAAATTTCAGATAAGAAAGAAAATAATGTTCAAAAGCTGAACGATTTTTTGAATGCATCGATCACTCATTTCATGCATTTTACACACTGAGATATTACTTATGGCCAATATAAAATTGTGTTTATCGGATAAATTTGTAAGTTAGGGGAGTACAAGAAAAACTGAAATCCACTTCAGTAGGGGAGTAGAAGAAGAACTATATGAGACGAAACTACTTCGCAAACTTATCACATCACAGAAATTTCATCAAATTTGTAATGTTCAAGTCTAATTGTAAATGAGCTGAAGAATCAGATAAGACCAACCAACCTCTAAGAAATGCGGACGTGGTCCTCGATAAACGTATGTACAAGAAAATGGCAATAATGAATAGCAAGGCACATAACGATCCGAGCATCGTGGCTAGCAAAAATAAACCATGACGACTTATCACGCAGTCTTTTGATGCGCCCAACGTTTGCGACGACGAATCTGAAGGAATGAATCGTGATCACGATGAAACACTTCGTAAATCCATCATTGAATTAAATTCATTATTGTGATTTTTCAACTGAACGCATATCGAATTCTTAAGGATAATTTCTGAATTGAGCCAAATTGAACAAGAAGGAAGTTTCGAAGGAATCATTAAGTGACGAGAATCAGGAATGTCCGATAGCACTGTTCGATATTTCTGCCCAATACATCGTCGTCTTAATAATTAACTAAGACGTGATTGGTCTAAATGACATGTTTGAATCGAAAATGTTTGTGCAACACTCATACCGTCTCTATCGTCTCGATTAGCCGCTGCTTTCGGAGGCTCCTCGTCAATATCGTAGATGAGTAAACGACCGGCGATCATCGGTGGAGCGTCCGCATCAACGGGTGGTTCGTTTAGGTCATCGCTCATTACACTCGAATCCATCACACTGCCAGCATCATCAACTGCTTCATCATCATACTGAAGAGGCGAATCGGCCAGTCGTGCGGATCTTCCCCATGATGTTTTCTTAAAGCAATTTGAAAATCAAGTAAAAAATTCAGAGTATTGTCAAATGAAAACTGATAATGAAAATGATGAAAAGCAATTTCACTGATGTTACTGTGAGACAATTTGTTTTGTTCATATTCGATTAAATTAATAACGCAATAATTTCTTTATTAATTGTGAACGTCGAATAATAAAGAGGCGATGTGTGGTTAATAAAGTGTGACATCCTATCGAAATATGTGATGGAATATTTTTTCGAGAAAAAAGCTATTTGAACTTAAGCAAGACATTCGCTAGAAAATAGATCACTTCCAGTAAAATCGATATGATGCATTAAAAAATTATTGGGAATTTGACTTCAAGGTATCACATGATTTGGAGAGAAACCATATGCCTGTAATGGGTTTCTGATGCAGAACAACAGTATGAATTCAAACTCTGTGAAGGAATCGATGGAAATCTTCGAAGTTTAATTACCTGAACTGGGGCACGCTTATGGGTTGAATTTATTCGGTTCATACTATGTAATGGACTTCGTCTTACATCATGAGAACTCCTTGCTCTACCCTGTAATGCTCAGTTATGTATCTAACTCGCTTTCAAGAACTGTCCACTGCATTGAAATGCTTTCAGATAAAACTGATTATATGCAAGACAAAATATTCTTGAGGCTATTTGAGTTATCGTCGATATTTTATTTTCGGACAACCTCATGGTGACAACTAAATTTGCTAGAAATCAAACAGTGTTCATAAGTTTCCTTGTGGACGGCAGGTCCACCAATAATAAATCATTGATGCCGGCCAACTGTGACCTATGGCGACCAAACCAAACAAGAACAACTTTGCTTTCGCTTACGAGAACAGAAACGTTTTACCTGACTTCTGAGCATATCGAAACCTTGAAGTAAGGCTCTACGATCTGCAACAGAATCCCTGAACATCTTCTGCAGTGAATCTGCGTCAACGTCATCTGGTAGGTTAGCTAGCAGATCGTTCAAATTCGGTGGTATCGTCACATCTTCATTATCGTAGTCAATATACCCATCTGTAATCATTAAACGTTTATTTGCAAGTTTTCTCGTTAAATAGGTGCGAAATGAGTAGCAATCGAGGATGAAAGAATATTACTGAACAAAGTAATAATGAATTCACAGTTACGAGAACATACCAAAAATGCATCGGTATCAACTAATCGTAACTACTTAGTTGTATATTGGTGGCCATCTCAAGAAAGTAATTTCAGTTAAATTGTTCAAATAAGATCAGTAGTACGGAATATTTTTAAACGGGAAAAATTTCAATAAGTAGCCCGAAAGGATTACTTTTGACGGGTGCAACATGCGGTCGAGTGGTACCGTATCTTGGCTGCGTGGTACCATATTTTTGATCAACATAATGTTCGTTTGTTTCGAAGACGTTCGTCACAACAGCCTGAATTTGTGATACTCGCTTATTATTATCTTCTATCGTTTTGCGTCCTTGCCATTCAGGTATGTTCTTATCAATCTGTTCTGTTCAGATTTACACTCAATTTCAATTTGGCTGCTCGCATTCAGCATTCAAACGCGCCTTGAATTAGGTCCTGTCATATCTCAGTAATGCATTAGTTGCATCAATACATCAAATCAGCCATTTTCACGGCGCGTTTAATCGCATTTTTATTCATGCGCTGCACTGAAATTTCGTCTGTGCTTTCACTCTGACTTTGAAGGAAAATAAATTTATCGAACTTCCGTGATTGCGTTTCACTTTGCAACAGTGAAGTGATTAACTAATAATCTACGAAAGAATAATGACCAGATCAACGACAATCAAACCATACAGTTGATCGACGTGGAGTTGCAGTTGTTGGTTTCTGATTACCGAAACCGGGTCGATGAGCGGTACCATAATCGAGACCGCCGTTCTTTTCGAATGCATGCGGTAACGGAAAACCTGCACCGTAGCCAGTGCCGTGCTCATTCGCCGTCTCATAATCTTCTGGATTCGGCGAAAGTCCAAACGGTGTAGCACCGTTGAACCTTAACGAATCGCTCATTTCCACTGGTATTTACGCCCTCATACATTATGAATTATCCTTTGATGACACGGTTTAGTAGCATTCAACATTTCAATATTACGTTCGATGAAATTCTTTCAGTTCTGATAATTTTCCATCGCAATCGCTTTGCAGTAAAACGTTGATCACTTACTGAAATGGCTCTGCAGTCCGTTTCGATGTTTCACTCAACCCAATCGGTTGATTTGAACTTCCATGTCGCCCTCCTGCACCTCCACCAGTAACCGAGTTCGATTCCACCTCTCGGTCATAACCTTCTTCTAGTCCACCTGCGCTAAGAGTTTTCGGAACTGCTGAAGCACAACCTGGAGGCTGAAAGTTTTTCGAAGATATCGACGAATCGCACTGCTGAACGCTTGAAAAGTAGCAACAAGCATTAAAATGGCAACAACATCATCCAATGCATCATGAAGCTTGTTTAGAGTATTCATTTAATGATGTGTACTTATCAATAAATGAAGCAACAAGGTGATCGTACCGTTACTCCATCGCACATTCCAGCTTTCTTCATACACATCTGTATTTGACAGAAGAACCAAACGCCCGGTCGATCGGCAAACTTGAACACTTGTGATTCGGCATATGCTCGTTGAAGATCAGCTGAATAGCGAATACCAGTTATCAGAATCGGATCAACAGCGCATCTGCAAAAGGATATAAGTAATGCTTGCCAGTCTTAAACGAAACGATCTCAGAAAGCAGTTTTTTTTTTTTGAGACGATATCATGTACTGATCAGAGGCTAAAATAAAACTTCACATCAAAATTTGTCGCATTCGATCAAAAATTATCAAAAAGATTCCAATGTGAAGAAAGATACCAACCCTCTTGAATCAACGACATCCGCTCGTTTACCAAAACCGTCCGTAACGTAGCAGTTATTGATTAAAATACCGAACATTTCTGGAACAAACATTTGACTGCATTAATTCACCGACTACCAATAAGTTCTCTGATTGTGGTGATTTGGTCATCAAGCTATTTCAATTGATTTCATATAAAAAGTTTCTAAATTCACACATCAAGATGATAATGAATCTATTGCAATTGATAAAGTTACCATGAAATGAAAGTGCTATTCGTAGCATTTTAAAAAGCGACTTTAATGAAGCTTTCACCTTCTTTTGCAAATGTTACAAACACTTTCCAAGCATCTCTCAAGCATAAGTTTTCACGCGTTTAATTTTTGATAAAAGCAACTCGAATGCACGGTGAGACAAAAAATAATTTATTTCGTTGACTGCGCATGAAGAATGAGACTGACTGCAACGGTTGTTCATATTACGAATCCAGCTAAATCACTATCGACTAGTGTCCAAAATGTTAACAGACAGCCCATACCTCTACTGAATTCATCCCAATCCCATCTGAAGCGCTCTATCAGCGACACTTGCTGATGCATGAGAAATGTGAATAGATGAAAAGATTACGGTCATCGCAGTGCCACTGATGAAGGACTTTCTCACCGACACGAGCGAACTGAATCGGTGGGCCAGCCGGTTTGCCTGCATCCAGTTCGGCAATTGAACTCGCGTGAATACTATACGAACAACCCGGGATACTGTGACGTGCCTCCACTTCGGTTGTGGGAATCATACTGAACGATTGCCTTATCAGTACTGATTCATAAATTCATTAGTCATTATGTTATGCTGCATTATCAAGTACATTTGCGTTTGGATCATTCATTCATGCATCAAATGAATCTGCGAATGAGAACTTTGTTGGAAGCCGTTCCTCGCAAAACTGAAGCGAAGATGATTTGAATTTCGCTTTCGGTTTTGATTTTGAAATATTCAACGGGATTAATTGAACTTGCACAAGCTATCGATCACTAGACAACAGGAAATGTGACCTCATAGTAATTTGATTGATGACCTACATGATAGAGACACAGGCATTTGATCAAAGGTAGTAGCAATAATGGTCAGTCTGGGTTTATGTTGAAGGAGATCATGATACATAGATGTCTATTGTATTCGAAGAAAAGCGTGCGTGCGTGACTATTATCCTATTGGATAACAACAAAACTCTAATATGCTCATCATGATCCAATACAATCGAACGCACACCGATTGATGGGCAATTTGAGCAGAGCATCGAAACGCTACTGAAATAACTCAAACTAATTATCTCTTCTCCATTCTTCATTCTTCAATGAACTCAAGTGACCAGTTATTGTTACGTATATCTATCTATTCCTTTGCATACGTTTCATTTAATTGCATCATAAGTTTTATCGATATTTCTAGTTATTCGTCGCACAAAAGCGAGTGACTTACAAATATTATCGTAAATTATTTATTTTAGTTTACCAATGCAGTGATGACTAAAAGTGAAATCGTTGGCCTAGATTTAGTCAATAATGAAAGTGGATAATATCATCAAAGTAACAATATAATCGGAACAACACTCATAATAAGGAATAACGATTATTAACAGCCTACGACGTAGACGGTGTCTTTTAATGGGATAGGTGGATGGATCATCAACAAAAATTAGATTGGAAGATATTGAGAGTATCTTTTGCGAGGCTTTTCATGAGCAGTATCTTAAGAGAAAGCATAGTTTTTGAGATGAAATGAGCTTGGGAAAACAACTCGTTAATCGACAAAAGGCAATGACTTGGGAAAACGAATAGAACTGAGTAAGTAATCATAAGGAAGAAACATTTCTGGTGTGAAGCTTAAACTGTCTTGACCTGATAATTTGTTATGTTTGAAGGTAATGGAATTTATTCACATTGTGAGTTTAATGCACGCTAAGAATTCGAAAAGGTAAGAGCCGAATGCATAAAAGATGAATACAAATGAAAGCGAGTCCATACCTAACACCAAGCTCAGCCGTTAGTCCACGGCTAGCTTCCTCGAAGAAGCATTTCACATGGAATGCTTGATCTACTTTCGTGATAAACATCTGAAATATTGGAGGATGCACTGGTGAGGCAAAATGTTCATTGAGTGAAGACATAAACTTTGGATAAAGTCAATTCGAGTCAGTTCAATGAAATGAGTGAACATTATTAAAGGATGCTTAAACATTTTCAGGATTTATTTCTAACGATTATCGAATAGTTTGGATTTGATCATAGATAAGCCTATATTCGACATTCTAAATGAATTGATACCGTATGAAACGAAACAACCAGTGTTATGCCATAGTACATTCCTCGCGGATCCACCTGAAAATCTCATTCGCATTCTTAGCATTCATCGTTCAATTTTACTCTTACCAATGTTTAGCAGATTACTGAAAAGAAATTTTGATGAATGCACTCAAAACGAGGGTTTGAAATCTATGCGTTCGTTTGAAATCCTTTCCTCATGTGCCATATCGAATAGAACTGATTGAAATGTATATTTTAAGAAAACTTTTATTCAAGTCATCACATGATCGATTATCAATACCCAATTTGAAGACTTCTCACCGAGCGTAAACTCTTCATTCCACACATTCCAAATTTTAGTTCCATATATGGCTTTTTGGTACGTTCTCTAGCGAAATCATCTTTTGAACAATCCGGATTATCAGCTTTCCCTTTCGCGTAAATTCGACCTTGAACAGAGCGTTTTGGGGAATTATTTGCTATTTGAGAACGGTCTATATTAAGAATACAATAGCTCAATAATATGTTTACCCTTGCATTCTGCAGACGGAACGCATCTAATATAAGTCATAGACGGGGAAGTTTCTTACTTCAAAACAACTGAAAATTTTCCTGTCTAGAAAAATTTTTGGAAGATTCACATCGCAATTCAATCAATGATTTGAGGGATACTGAAATGCGTTTCATTGTCAGTTTGATCGACATAAACGAAAATGTTCAGTCGAAGAAAATCACCTGACACTGACGAACAGCATGCAAAATATGAAGAAAATAGCAAACCTGTGAAGAGTTTCCGTGTTTTGACGAAGACTCGAATTTGGTCATCCAAGCATTCAATATCAGGATCACCGACAATTTCATTATCAATACTGATCGCTCCACTTCGATAACACATCTCATGCAGCTAAAGTCGTATTTGCAAATCATACCTCTTATGAAATGATCTCAAAGAATCTCCACTGAATTCTTCAAAAATCAGCTAGAATTAAAGCAGTCAATGACTTCAAAACTCATGGTGATGATTCAACTCATCGTTTTCCAATACTACGGATGAGTCAGTTTAAAAAAAGTATATCATTTTCGCATAGTTCTGAATGAAAATTTATGAGCAACACTCACGAGCAATAATGTTACAAAAGCGGATGAGACGTGGATAAACATTGTCTTCGATGATTTGATATGACAACTGCTAATACAAATCAACCCTCTCTCAATTCAGTTCTCCAGGCTCGAGAATATCACTGAAAAGAGGTAAATTCAATCTACAGTTGATGTTGACCTTATGAATCGTGCAAAATTGAATCGTGCTAGATAGCGATCGTATGAGAATATAGTGTAGGTGGGTAAGTGCCCAATGATACGGGATTACACCAGTTTGACAGCATAATTTCAGGTTTACTGCATCGGAATGCGTCAGTATCATGAATTGATGCTGAAGTTTACAAATATGTTACACAAATTCTGTTTGTAGACTAGATTCGAAATCTATAACATTGAATCATTTTATTCGGACCAATCAAAATTTCATTTCCTTTTAAAAATTGGAAATTTGGGCTCCTCAAACTATTGTAAAATAAAAATTCAACTTCAGGGAATGCGAGCAAACTAAGTTTTAGCAACTAAGCTAAAGCAAGGCAAAGGAACAGGAAATCGTGGAATGGCGTAGTGAAAGGAACTCTCATGCCTAGGCAGTCAATGATGAAGACGATAGAGGTGGATTGTTAAAATTGGCTGTTTCATATCTGTCCCATCCTATCCATGCGTAATAGCCATTGGCGGAGGCGTCCGCTCAAAGTATAGGTCAGTGGGACGTAATTTTAAATTTCAGTATATCAAAAGAAATGAGAATAATGATGACGAAATTGATGAGATAACCATTAAAATATGGATACGAAAGAATGAGTGAAAGAAATGAAAATGCGATAATAATAATTTCATAATGACCACCATGTTGTCTATCTGCTTGCGCCAGTGTCATATCTCATTCGCATGGACGATGATTTATTTGAAATCTTACATAATCACAATATCGGAGCACTCGAAAACAATGCAAAGCAATTATCCAATACAATATTGTATTGAACGTGATACGATTGCAACGATTCAATTCAGTTTTTGATCATGGTGCTTTGAACATTGCATCACAATTATATTATTTCCGATTACGTCAACTTAACCTTACTGGTATGATTGATTTTTGATGAGTCGGTCTCTATTGTCTTATATTTATATGTACAGGACAGAACTGCGAGCTTCAGTCGCAAATTATTAAAGTGAAATTTTTTCGGAACAAAGTTTTCGACGATGCTTAAGTGGCATAGTTGTTCTACTCTTACAATTTGATCAGTTCCATAAATGAAAAGAAATGGTTACGAAAATGAGTCGAAACACACAATCAACGAAATACATCTCAAAATTGCTACGTATGCAATTTAAATTACAAGTGTTCGATTATTTCACTGCTTGCCGAATCTGAAAGTTGCGTTCTAACGGCAATCATTCGTTCAAATTCTGCGCATATTCTCAGAAATAATTCAGGGATAATTACTGAAATCAAATAAGATTTCAGTGTGTGTGTGCACCAAACTATCACAAATTCGATTCATGCATGAAGGAATATCAATTCAATTTCCAACTCTTATTCATTACAAAACGTTCAGTTTCATTCATCTAATTCAGCGCAATTAGAAAGTAATTTTAGTTTATCAAGGCTCGTTTAGTACGTCTGAATAGGATCGATACGGGAATTTCTTTCTATAGAACGACGCTTCAATGGGTCAATAGGATAAAATTTTGAATCGTAAAGTAAAAAAAAAACTGAAATGAAACTCTAATTACTCTCAGATGGAGTGTATGCGAATAAGATAAGAAATAAATTTTAGAGATCTGATGTTTTTCTTTCTGACAACTTGATACCTCAAACTTGATCCGTTAACTATGCGTAATGGTCAAGCGCTTCTCATTAATCCCTATGAAACTGCATAAATGGTTGAAATGAGATTG